ACATTATGCGAAAGAAAATGATAAGAAAATAAATTTATCTGAATTAAAAAATAGGCCTTACACATGTACAATGAGATGGCCGACCACATAATGAAATAGTTGCACTTGAACTACATTTTAAGAAATCAAACACCTAACATGCACTCAAAAAAGAGAGAATTTATTCATGTCATGAGAACATATGCTCCATGTCATTATGTATAAACTCCCCATAACCTAGACTAGTAAATGTTGGCACGAGAGCAATCCAAATTTAAGTTCAAATAAATAATATCTATTTAAATTCTCACAAATTAACCCATTGGGAAAAAAAATTTGCGCAGTACTGAAAATTTATGCTCGACTTCCCTTAGAGATTATAATTCCGAAAAAATTTCATAAAAATATGTTTTAAATTAGACACTACCCAGAAATTTCCCACTCATTTTGCAAAATCTTTTAGACATAATTCCATGTTTCTATAGGTGTGAGCACCCGTGATTAACTATAACTTCGGATAATAAGAAAGAACTTTTGATTAAGGCTAAGCATTAAATGTTAAATACTAAGCATATAGTAGCAACAACTTAATACTTACTACTGTTAGCTTGAAATGGATGATGGGGGGAATGGAAACAAACTCAAACAAATTCCTATGGTTCCATCATCACATGCTGTTGTAGACTTTAATGTGCTTAATTAGACTAAATAAATAACCATACATGAACGAAGGATCTTTATCAACTACCAAGAGTTATATCATTCAAAAGGACCTTGTAGACTTGAGATAGATATTTGCCCAGTATAACGATTTTAAATCGATATTAGCCAACATGTGATTGTGTCCTATCTACAATTCACCATGAGTTATATCAACACATAGCCTTTTGATTAAAGCTAAGCGTTAAATGTTAAAATCTAAGCATATTGTAGCAACAGCTTATTATTCACTACCATTAGCTTGAAATGGATGATAGGGGGGAATGGAAACAAACTCTAAAGAACTTGCTAAAGGTTCAAGTTGAATATCTTTCTGAATTTAAAAGCATCATGATCATATAAGAAGCATTAAATTCCACGTCTCTGATTCACCTTAGAAAAAAGCTTGTAATCACAATAATAAGTAGCAAATTCTTCATTAATATCCATATGAGAATCTTGCATATATTATGAAAGTAATTACCAAAATTTACAAGATGTATATTATATATTAGATCAACAAGATCCCTAAACTTCATAGGTTGGTATCTTGTGACAATCTAAAAAGAAATAAAGTTTAATAATTGAATTGCAAGAAAAAATAATCGTATGAAATATAAAAACTAATCCAATTTTATAGTAGATTATCAGACAACGTATTAGCTCTTTTATGCCTATAATAAACAAATTAATTTAACCATCAAATTTTGAATGATAAATAGTTGAAAACTTAAATGGTATTCACATATTATTTTGAGAATAATTTTCCAAAAATAGCTCATGAATTTTAGATCCATCATTATTTTAATTAAACCGTGATTTGATTGCATCATTAAAATATAGTATGAAATATGATTTTTTTTTAAATACCCCAACTAAAATCAGGATCATACTTTTTAAATTTTCATAATAGCCTAATACAAACTTCATACTAACATCATCCTAGAATTTATATGGAATTGATAAACATATATCTAACCAGGCTTATGTTTCCTAGTTTAGTGAGCAAAGAAGTTTCGTACCTCTAACCAAACAGTAAAACAAATAATCAAAATAGACATTAAATGTTTCGATTACATATTTTATATGAATAATTTACATTAAAATATAATGCCTATGGGATGTCATATCTTAACTTTTTACGATCATGTCCTTCCCCATGATTGTGTAAGGTTATGTGTATTCATGTCTCGTTTTCATGCTTTAAAGTTATATCATTTGCCCAACTTGCAACTCCATATCATGCAAAACATTAAACACACATACTTGATGTTATATGTGCATATAAGGGTTGATGTTATCTGCTTAAACCTATACTTTGTCATAAATGCTTGCTTATATAGTAGCCCCACCCGTACTCGAGTTAACTAATACATTTTGATGCATACATTGAGTTTTATGAGCATTCAATTTTATGTATATAAATTTGTGATTAATGTGATGCCCTTGTATACAAGTCACAACATTTCCTTAAATGTTTTGCGCCTTGAAGGATCCTACACATCATCATCAATTGCATGCACACTAAGCCCGAGTGGCAATATACACTCTATTAAATAATGATACAACATTATTGATACCAAAATGTAAAATTGAACTTTCTGGAGCAATTTAATGTCCACTTATAATTTATCTTTGCCATATCAATGTACACTCCAAGAAATTAATTATTCATAATTATTTAATCTTTTATGGATATTGCATCACGATAATAAAAACTTGATTATCGTACTTTTCTTATATCTCCTTTTCCTAACCCCTCATTGATTCTAAAAGATGTATCCTCGGCCTCTTCCCATATCATAATTCTGGTCAGCTGATAAACAAATTTTCAAGGGTTAAAAGAGAGAGAGAAAGAGAACAAGGGGAACATATTGTTCGATCAGAAAATAAATTTTCCTACAATTTTTCTTCGTCTAGATTACGACACCATGCTTCTATAATAGAATTCAATGCTTTCCATTGCCCACATAATTTCTTGTATGTATTTCATGAATCAAACAATGATATGTGATTTTGATGGATTCCACTAGATTTCACAAATGAAACCTCGATATTTTGCCTCTTTTACATTCATGTGCATTCTTGCACGTTCTCAACCAGATTTGATGAGGAAATTATGTGGTTGGAGTGTTCCAAGCTCTCTTGATGATGAGATGATGGTATTGGCCATCATTCATATGATTCCATATTTGACCAACACAATATCTAGCTTACATCATGTTGGATTCAGACTTTTGATCAACAAGTTTTGCTACATATTCTGAGCTATTCTTTATGTAATACTACATATTTTTCATGACTATATATGTGATCCTACATGATTACATACATGTTTCTTGTGTGTCTCTCTATGATGATGACAACTTCATGGTGAACACATGATCTACATACATTTGTGGTATGGTGTGTCATTGTTATTGAAATGATATGTTATGTGTATGGGCTGAAGAAATTATTTCTATAAACATGAATGAAAATTAGCCAATAAATGTATTAAAAAGAAATAAGAAAACAAAATATCCACAAGTTGGTTGAGATATTATATTGATCCCTGCATAAGGACATTTAGTGAGCTTGCCTTACTGATAAAGAGAGAGCAAATATTCACTTTGATACTAAAAGGAGGCATAAAGACATGTATGATTATATGCATGTAGTTATGGGTAGCCATGTATGTATGCTCTTGTCGACGGGCAAAAGGTAACAACATTGATTAGATTAGGGGAAACCATCCATGTGAATGAAGTTATAATGATATTTTTAATAAGTAGGTGACGAGTTGACCATGGATATAAATTAATGTCATAGTAAATTCTTTACCGACATAACTATGAAATAAAATGACTGGTTATGTTATTATTACATTGACTACTATTATTGAAGCATTTATTGCTTACCTGGTCTAATATGTATACTAATTTCTAGTGACATGCATGTTAGTCCTATTTATCAGCATGCTTGGAATGCAACTGCAACAATATGATATGTACGCCAAAAAAAATTATCATACATATTGCATATGCCATTATATTGATGTGTTTTATTGATAAAATTGCAGGCATATACGTGTATTTAATTTTGTGATGGGTTTCTTGCGACTTATTGGGCTTATTGATCATCATATTGTAGGTGCATATGTATTTGGTTTCATATATGGTAAGAAGCTTAATGAGTAAAAGCTAAGCAATTGCAAATTGTTGTTCGAAAATATTTCTTTAACATTTTTTTTGGTCATCTGCTTTGATATTAAGAAAGGAAGAGGTAGACCTAAGAAGACTTGGGCTTATTGTATTAAAAATGATCTTAATTTACTATAACTAAATGAAAAATGACACTAAATAGGACGCAATGGAGAAAAAGGATTCATGTAGCCGACCCCACGTAGTGGGATTAAGGCTTTGTTGTTGTTGTTGTTGTTGTTGTTGTTGTTGTTGTTGTTGTTGTTGTTGTTGTTGTTGTTGTTGTTGTTGTTGTTGTTGTTGTTGTTGTTGTTGTTGTTGTTGTTGTGCTTTGATATTATATATGAATAAATGATCGTAATCAATGTGCATGATTCTTGTGGATGTAAACAACATAATCAATGCCTATAAAAGCTTATGTTTCCTTTAATTTAGCAGTTAATTTTATGTAATAATTTAGATGACTTTGTTTTTATATAAATGGAACTAAAATTTTCTATCCAATAAATCATGACTTTTAAGGGGAACTTTTTATAAAAAATATATGTAATCAAATATCTATAGAATTATCAACTTGAAGTTTCATATGTCACACCTCAACTCAACGTGATTTGATATGATGTAGTTTTCCTCCGAAGAGTCGTGATTTACAAATAAGGCACCTTAAAATTTTACAGTATGACTGGGCTTTCGGGTCACAACCATGATTACTCCAGGCACAAATTGAAAATTAAAGAACAGGCAAAAGGACAATGGTAGCAAAGTAAACAATACTTCATTAAATGCAAAAGAAGAAAAAGTAGCTTCAAGTATAACAAGCCTATAGAGCATGATTACATGAGCCTTGAATAAAGAATAGTTCCGTCAAGAACAATTACAAAATGTCGGATTTCTTTAAGTACGACTGAATCAAGAATGTCTAATTAACGAGAATAATGACAAAAAATTAGGAGTAAAATCACCAAGCTTCGCATTGACGTGCCAAAACTTAATTGATTGTCTGTGGAACTTCAGCTATGTGCCGGGCGGGTTTTAGGTATGAGCACAGTCAATTAGCACACAACACCACCTAATCACCGGCATTGCATACATTTCTACTATAACTGCTCAGAAATGCACCTAAATTCAGGATTCCGATACCTTGCAAGAGAGACCGCCACCATGCAACCGTGCTGCCACCGCAGAAGCCCATTTCCCGAAAGCAGCGGTCAACCCTTCAGGATTCGTATCAGTCTTGCCATCCGTGGGAGACTCCCCAAGCTTGGACACCGCAAAATAAGCCAAAACTTGATTCGCATCCCCAAGGCCTCTACTCTCGAACCAAGGATCAAGCATTCCATTCTGGAAAAACACCATATCTGCTAAAGAATTACACACACGTCATTAAATTCCAGCTCATAATTAAAGAAGAAGCTAGAGTTTGAACAGGACTGGGATTACCGCTCCATCGAGAAGAAAGAGTACCCTCGAGCACGGCGTCGAGGTCGTCGTTCCGGGTGCAAACGAAGATGGGACCATCGAAGTCGGAAG